GAAAAAGCCCGGCGGTGGGCGCTGCTTAACCTCACTGAGCTGGATTTACATGATTTTTTTTCTTTTTTTTTTAAAAAGAAGGATTTATTTAGGAATTAAGTACCCTGAAACCCCCAGCGTGCGTTCCTGCGGGGCAGCCGCAGCAGAGCTGCCCTGGTTCTCGACACCGGTATTTATCCTGTCCCACTACAGCTTTTTTTTTTATTTTGGCCTCCTGCAGTATTTGACACGTTTTTTCAATGTCATTCGAGCAATGCAGGAGAAAGAAAATTAACCTGTGGCCATCTTTTTGTACTACATGCCTGAATGTCAATCAAAATTGACGACTCCGCCTTCCCTAAAATACAAAATTCCCCATTAGGCTTCACATACATGTCAGAGGACTAAGCCATGCGGGTTTAGAGCTATTTTATACTTTAATATAAAGATACAGCAGTCTAAAATCCTATATCTAGAGGTGTAAAGTTCTATCTGACATCTTGGATACTGACTAAAATAAAAAGGATTTTCTTCTGCCTCTTTAGTTGGGTTGAATAGTCAAATAATTGTGGAGATACAAAGTAAGAAGTGTTCCTGTTTGGGCATCTGCTAAAAACATAGAATCATAGAATGGTTTAGATCAGAAGGGACCTTAAAGTCCATTAGTTCCAACCCCCCTGCCATGGGCAGGGACATCTCCACTAGAGCATGTTGCTCAAAGCCCCGTCCAGCCCGGCCTTGAACACCTCCAGGGATGGGGCATCCACAGCTTCCTTGGGCAACTTTAACTTTACTTGCACATAAAGTGACCAGTAGCACATTACCGTGCTACATATTGGACATGCACAGACATTCATAAGGAGTTTGCTGCAGATCAACAAGTGACTTGTGCTAAGTTAAGGCCTCACTTTTGCGGTTCTAATTTTTTAGCAATATGGAGTGGAATATGGTGGCTTAAACCAGCATGGTGAGGGCTAATACCACTTTCCTCAGCCAAAACTGTGCAAAACTCCGTTTCCCCCCGTCTTCTTTGAATTAGGAATTAATAGAAATGCTTGCAATAAGGTTCTTCAGAAGCAACACCCAGGTGAAAGCAGTAGGACACTGTACAGCCTGTGGAAAGGTAAATGAGAATTATCAATAACGTGTATCAGTGATCAGTCATGCTCAAGATACTCTGCCAGACCAGGGAAGCGCTGCACGCCTGCAATCCCTGCTGAGCTGCACGTGTGTTTGCATGGATCGAGACACGCAGACCTACACATTTGAGCTTAGATTCATGGTGTTTTCCCCAAAATAAAACTGGTGGGTCCTACTTTCAAAGCCCAAACCAAGGAAAAAACACTGTAAATACCAGAAAGTTAAATGTACTTTTTTTTCCTGTCACTTTTAATAAATTGTAGGCGTCTTCAAATATGGCTGATTTTTCTATATGGTTATTTTCTTGAAACATTCCTTTTAAATCGTTTGGGACTATTCTTCAAAATAGGCAATTGTTAAGGAATAGCAGGCTAGGTTATAAATGGTTTTAGAAACAACTACATCAAATTGTAAATGACTTTATTGCTTCAATGTAGAAATAATTGCTGAGTCTGTGGTAACCAGTTAGTGACGGTGAGTTAGTTGTGCATCTCAAATGATCTGAAATAATTAGATTACTGTTTAATCACACAGAATTTTGACCTGTGTGCTGACTTCCTTTTTTTTGCAGGACTGCAGTGCTGTTGGAAGATTCAGTTGGTGAAAAATATCTAAACCCTCATGTAATGAAACTTGCAACTAATACGCCATTAAATCACATGCCACCTGCTTTTGCGAGCTGAAGCAACCAGCCCTTCAGGATGTTTCTTCAGAATCATGTTCTTCAGGCAGACCACCAGGCTTGGTCTGCTCTTCTTTGGACCCTGTACTAAAGATGGAGATGGTGAGAGCACTTGAGATGTTGCCTGGGAGATGTTATAGCCCTGAAGTGCAGCACTAGAATGAGCATATTGCCACCACATGGCTATTTCTGCTACCTGCACCTGTGTCGACTAAGCCAAACCGGACTTTTTGCCCCTGCACTGTGCTGGCGCGGAGGTCCTAATGGACAATTTGTTTGGGGTTTAACATCAAGCTTCCCCTCAAAGGATTTTGGCAGGAAATAAATGGACATGGGTGCAGAAGGCTTGGCTTGCAGGAACATGGAAGTGCTTTTTGGGACTGAAGGGAACTGGCTTTCAGGGACTGAAGAGATTTGGCTTTGGGATGTGACGGCCTACCGTGTGATAGGTGGGGCACAACCCCCCTTTAGCAGAGTGTTTCGGCACTGGAGGGATGGGTGACCTCTGGGAGCAGAAAAGCTGGGAGGGGGATGCCATGGAAACTTGGCTGATGCAAGAGAGGAAAGGGTTTCCTTGCAACATGTGTTCTTTTCCATCCTGCAGGATCTCAGCAGTCCAAGCCTGTCTCCTGGGCCCACCATCTCCAGCCAACCACAGGGAAACCATTTGCTCCTTGAAAGCTGTTTTGCTTTTCCTAATTCTTAGGGAACTCTTTCTTGCCCAGGATGAACGTTGGTTCTCCGCAAGTATCATCCCAGAACAGCAGCCAAAACTGCAGAAACAAGACCATCAAAACTCACCCAGCACCTTGCAGTGGATGTTGTCCGGGCTGTTTGGAGAGGTAGGTCAAACAGCGCAGTACCACAGTGGGGTAGTACATGGAGGAAAAGTACATGGAGGCTTCTTACTTTATGCAGGTGATAGTGATTTGGGTACTGTTGTAGTACCGTTGACTGCAAGTGAGAGGACAGTGTTGTCCTTTCCAGAGTAGGTTGCAGTCGATGAAGTGAAGGTTTGTGGGACAGCTTTGAACCACGTTTCAGAAGGATGTTTGGCCCTAATCTAATGCAAAATAGACTCCCCAAGTCAGAGGTGAGGAGCCTCAGCACTAGACACTTCAGCCTGATGGTCTGTTCCTGTTGCATCAAATTAATTACTAGCATAGACGGTTCCACCACCTTGGGAACTCCAGAACTTCCTGGACTGTGGCGTCTTCCTAGGAAGCGCGGAAATTGAAGACCTTACTACAAATCTATCTGGAAGCACGGAGTTGAGGGATAGTGCGAGGGGGAAAAAAGCTCATGTTCTTACTAAAGGGATCATTCTGAAAGAGAGAAGAGACTAGCTGCAGCCACCATTTTATCCCTTGGTATTTGGTTGCTGTGACTCTAAACCAATGCAGAACGTGTAGGTAAACGGTGCAGCTGGGCAGCGCAGGATGTGTTGCTGGGGGAAAAGGCAGCTGAAGACCACCAAAATAATTTTGTACGGATTTGATGACACAAACATTACTGTGACTGCTGATTCCAACAAGAGTGAAAACGTCCAATGTGTTCAGCTGTGTTTGAGGATTGTGTTGATACGGTCTGATTTATAGCAGAGGAAACCACGCGCAGAGGCAGGTCTTTGGAGGAGTGTTTCTTTGCAGAGTAAGAATTGTACTTCCAGGTTCTGTTTTCTATACTTTGCACAATAAATATTTTTTTTTTTTTTGCTTAATATTCTTGAAAAATACCAGTTGCTATGGAATTATGGTGCTCTGTGAGCCTTTTCTGCCTGTTTATCAACAGACTGCAACCCAAAAGAGCAACACACAGAGCTGAAAATGGTATGTTTCTTGGACATTTTTGTAAGGCTTCTATCCATTTTTCTAGTGACTTATGGGTCAGGCATGCAGTGGAGTTACGGAGAGCTAGTTACTGAATATCACCCTAAATCTGGGAACTGCCTTGGTACATTGCCTCAGCCAGGGTGACATGATACTACCAGGTAGCAGCTCACAGGGAAAGAGGGTTGTGATGCAAAAGAGTGAGTTTTTAGAGTAAAAGTTATTAGTTAGTGAAGTTACCTAGATTGAAAGATCTGTGTGTGGGGAATACAGGGCATTTGTATACCAAAGGTATAAAAGTCTCTTGGACAAAAAAAGACATCTTACCACAAAGAAGACATTGAGGTGCTGGAGCGGGTCCAGAGAAGGGCAAGGAAGCTGGTGAGGGGTCTGGAGAGTAAGTCATGAGGAGAGGCTGAGGGAGCTGGGGTTGTTCAGCCTGGAGAAAAGGAGGCTGAGGGGAGACCTTATTGCTCTCTACAACTGCCTGAAAGAAGGTTGCAGAGAGATGGGGGTTGATCTCTTCTCCCAAGTCACAGGCGACAGGACAAGAGGAAATGGCCTCAAGTTGTGCCAGGGCAGGTTTAGATTGGATATTAGGAAAAATTTTTACATGGAAAGGGTTATTCAGCATTGGAATGGGCTTCCCAGGGAAGTGGTTGAGGCACCATCCCTGGAGGTATTTAAGAGGTGGGTTGACATGGAGCTTAGTGACATGGTTTAGTGATGTTTTTTTATCAGTTAGGTTGATGGCTGGAGTCAATGATCTTAAAGCCCCCTTCCAACCTAGACAATTATTCTGTGATTCTATGAAATTGCTATTGTAGGCAATAGGGAAAAAAAATACACAGGGAGAACAAAAAGCACACGGAAAAGTGAGTCTTGCCAAAAGTCAGAGAGAGTTTGAGGAAACTGGCCAACTGCAGCAGTTCCCAGTTCTCTGGATTTTTGTTTTTAGTTTGGTTTCAGACTGATTTAAGCCAGACCCAATATTTTCCTTCTGTTTCTGGTACATCTGAAGTTCCTCTGATCCTCTTCAGCTACGTCAGGGTTCTTGTTAGTATTTGTGCTCACAGCAGGAAGACATTTTCCTTGGCAACAGCTCATGGCCTCAAGGAAGATCCGACATATGTGTTTTTCCCCAGCCTGGACACCTCAAAGCCAATATGGGCATGTCCTTGAGCACAGACTGGGAAACCACCAGATTTAACTTTGATATTTTTAAGCCCAGTTATTCTTCAGTTGTGGACAGATCTTGTCCAGAAGAAGGAGGTTGTCTCTTTTTTCCTTCCCTTGCCAGCTTGTGCTTCTGTCATGATACCTCTGAGCCGTGGTTGACATCTTCTACCCAGCCGGTAGGAAAGTAAAAAGCGTGGCAGTCGTGCTGGACACAGAGAGCGTCTCTACACTCCTTGGGCACCTGAGCTCCCTCTGAAAACGGCAAGAAGCAAGACAGTGAACAGGAGATGGGGGCTGAAACACCACCATGAGACCACGTACACACCAAAAGCACTGTATGGGCTGGAACCCGAGGTCTGGTGGTTTTTTTATTTTATTTTTTCACTACTGCAAACTTTAGAGAAAGGTGAGAGATGCTTGAATTAGCTGACTGTAAAGGAAGTTCCTTTTAAATTTCTTAAAACAGTTTATGCTCTGAAATACATGATTATCTGTCCTTCAGAGATGTAACTTTGGAAGACTCTTTTTGAAACTTAAATCTGTGGAATCATAGAATCATAGAATGGTTAGAGTTGGAAGGGACCTTAAAGATCACCTAGTTCCAACTCCCCTGCCATGGGCAGGGACACCTCCCACTAGAGCAGGTTGCTCAAAGCCCCATCCAGCCTGGCCTTGAACACTTCCAGGGATGGGGCATCCACAACTTCCCTGGGCAACCTGTTCCAGTGTCTCACCACCCTCACAGTAAAGAATTTCTTTCTGGCATCTAATCTAAATCTCCCCTCTTCCATTTTAAAACTGTTACCCCTTGTCCTGTCACTACATTTCCTGACAAAGAGTCCCTCTCCATCTCTCCTGTAGGCTCCTTTCAGATATTGAAAGGTCTCCCCAGAGCCTTCTCTTCTCCAGGCTGAACAACCCCAGCTCTCTCAGCCTGTCCTCATAGGAGAGGTGCTCCATCCCTCTGATCATTTTCGTGGCCCTCCTCTGGACCCGTTCTCGCCGGGCCAGCGAGCGGCCGGGAGGCGGCGGGGGCAGCGCGGCTGGCGGGGAGGCCGCACAGGTACCGTCGTCTCCCGTAAATCCTTCACCGGGGGGAGCGGGCGCCCGACGGCGACGGGGGGAGAGGTGGGTTGACATGGAGCTTAGTGACATGGTTTAGTGATGTTTTTTTATCAGTTAGGTTGATGGCTGGAGTCAATGATCTTAAAGCCCCCTTCCAACCTAGACAATTATTCTGTGATTCTATGAAATTGCTATTGTAGGCAATAGGGAAAAAAAATACACAGGGAGAACAAAAAGCACACGGAAAAGTGAGTCTTGCCAAAAGTCAGAGAGAGTTTGAGGAAACTGGCCAACTGCAGCAGTTCCCAGTTCTCTGGATTTTTGTTTTTAGTTTGGTTTCAGACTGATTTAAGCCAGACCCAATATTTTCCTTCTGTTTCTGGTACATCTGAAGTTCCTCTGATCCTCTTCAGCTACGTCAGGGTTCTTGTTAGTATTTGTGCTCACAGCAGGAAGACATTTTCCTTGGCAACAGCTCATGGCCTCAAGGAAGATCCGACATATGTGTTTTTCCCCAGCCTGGACACCTCAAAGCCAATATGGGCATGTCCTTGAGCACAGACTGGGAAACCACCAGATTTAACTTTGATATTTTTAAGCCCAGTTATTCTTCAGTTGTGGACAGATCTTGTCCAGAAGAAGGAGGTTGTCTCTTTTTTCCTTCCCTTGCCAGCTTGTGCTTCTGTCATGATACCTCTGAGCCGTGGTTGACATCTTCTACCCAGCCGGTAGGAAAGTAAAAAGCGTGGCAGTCGTGCTGGACACAGAGAGCGTCTCTACACTCCTTGGGCACCTGAGCTCCCTCTGAAAACGGCAAGAAGCAAGACAGTGAACAGGAGATGGGGGCTGAAACACCACCATGAGACCACGTACACACCAAAAGCACTGTATGGGCTGGAACCCGAGGTCTGGTGGTTTTTTTATTTTATTTTTTCACTACTGCAAACTTTAGAGAAAGGTGAGAGATGCTTGAATTAGCTGACTGTAAAGGAAGTTCCTTTTAAATTTCTTAAAACAGTTTATGCTCTGAAATACATGATTATCTGTCCTTCAGAGATGTAACTTTGGAAGACTCTTTTTGAAACTTAAATCTGTGGAATCATAGAATCATAGAATGGTTAGAGTTGGAAGGGACCTTAAAGATCACCTAGTTCCAACTCCCCTGCCATGGGCAGGGACACCTCCCACTAGAGCAGGTTGCTCAAAGCCCCATCCAGCCTGGCCTTGAACACTTCCAGGGATGGGGCATCCACAACTTCCCTGGGCAACCTGTTCCAGTGTCTCACCACCCTCACAGTAAAGAATTTCTTTCTGGCATCTAATCTAAATCTCCCCTCTTCCATTTTAAAACTGTTACCCCTTGTCCTGTCACTACATTTCCTGACAAAGAGTCCCTCTCCATCTCTCCTGTAGGCTCCTTTCAGATATTGAAAGGTCTCCCCAGAGCCTTCTCTTCTCCAGGCTGAACAACCCCAGCTCTCTCAGCCTGTCCTCATAGGAGAGGTGCTCCATCCCTCTGATCATTTTCGTGGCCCTCCTCTGGACCCGTTCCAGCAGATCCATGTCCTTCCTGTGCTGAGGTCTCCAGAGCTGGACACAGCACTCCAGGTGGGGTCTCACCAGAGCAGAGGGGCAGAATCACCTCCTGTAACCTGCTGGCCACACTCTTCTGGTGCAGCCCAGGATGCGGTTGTCTTTCTGGGCTGCCCGTACGCGCTGCCGGCTCATGTTGAGCTTAAATCTATTCTATATCTCTCTCTTAAGAGTGGGGTGTTTCGGCAGAGGACCCGGACCCCCTGCCCACCCGAGCCGAGCGGGGCGGGCGGAACGCTGGTGCCCGGAACGCTGGGCGCCGCTCGCGTTCCCAGCCGGCAGCGCCGGGAGGACGGCGCCGG